TCCACAGCCGCTGGAACAGCCGCCGCGAGTCCTCCGCCGCACTCGCCCCCTGCGGCGGAGGCGGCGGAGCTGCACCAGCGCCGACTGGGTCGGTGAAGGCGGGGGCTGGAGGAGGCGGGGCCGAGCTGTCGGGGAACGGTGGGGGCGGGGCCTGCTGGGCAGCGGGTGGGGGGGAGTCGTTGGAGGCGTCGCTGTCGGTGCCCTCCTCGTCTTGGTCGGCGGAGGAGGAGGAGCGGGAGCGGGAGGGCGCGGCGGAGGCCATGGTGGTGGTGGGAGGGGGATTAGGGGTTCGGGTGGAGTCGAATCGGGTGCCGGATACGGCGGATAGGACTCGGCCAGACTGCGTGCGTGGCGTGGTGCTAGCGGGCAGGAGGAGTGGCTGCATTGCTTTTGTTTTCTTTTCTCGAGCGGAGAGGCTGCCTTTTGGGGTCCGTTGCCCCGCTGACGCATGGGTCCGGGTGGAAAGACACTGGACCCAGCTGGGAGCGTGTCGCGTCCGACCCAGGATTAGCCAGAACCAGGTGACTGCTGCGGTACCTACGAAAAGGAATGAGGCAATCCTCAAAAGAAAAAGAAAAACGGAAGGGAAGCGTGACGTCGTTGGGAAGGAATAATGGAGTGCATCGGCCAGTGGGTCCGCGGTGAAATGGTCCCTCCCATGTGTTGTGAGTGGAACTCGACCCAATAGCCCACATCAACGCGTAGAGAGCAACAGGGCCCAGGTTCGAGCCAGTCCAGCCAGAGAGGACCGACGGGCTGAACACAAACGGAACAGAAGAAAAACTAGGTCGCTCCTCTGCTCCGCCGCGCCTCCCACCGCCTCCTCTACTCCGCCGCGTCGGGCGCCAGGCGCCGTATCCTCTACGGCCGGTAGGGGCGTCGAGCACGTCGACGCGTTCCCCGCCGTCTCGCCACTTGGCTTCGATCAACGGTAGTTTCCCCAAGAACCCCCAATCCCCATCGCGTCTTGATGGCTCACTCATTTTCCTTATCGATTTCATGCTATGGAGATCAAAGATGAGGAGATTAATATACTGTGCTGCCCTTGTACTGATGAGGAGTACTTTGCTGGTCATTAGGCATTGTATTTCAGATTATTATAGTAACAATTGTGCAGTCCAGCCATGTTTACTTTTGGGAATAGCACAAGTGCTTACTTCTTGACCCTTGTTTTTATTCCCAATTTTATTTAGCCCTTGGTTTGAGAGGCAAATTGAACCCTGCCACAGACTTGGAATCTGCGATTCTTTTTTGTTTCCAAAATCCACTCCAATGTACGAGTGTACTGCTGAAAGCTATGCTACAGTTAATTGCCCTTGTGGTCTTACTGCTATTGTTATTTGCATATAGTCTCATTCAGTGGCGGAGCTACAGGGTGGCCAGGGTGGGCCGCGGCCCACCCTGGGATTTTGACCCGGCCTATACCTATATAGATGGGCTAGAGAAGGAAAAAAACGGCCCAACAACACTTTGACCCAAAACAACCAACGCTCTCGCTCTCAGCCAAACCCCAAGCACCACGCACATACAGGCATACAGCACGCTGGCCCTCTACCCGACACCTAGCCGCCGGCCGCCCCCGTCCCGGCCTCTGCCTGCCTCGCAGCCTCGCGGGACGCCGGTCGCCGGCCGCCCAAGAGTCTCCTCTGCTCCTGGCCTCCTGCCTCCCCATTGCGCCCTCGCCCTGCCCGGCGCTCGGCGCCAGCCTTGCCACCGCCCCCGGCCGCGACCCTGCCCTGTCCCGGCCGCGTGGCGCCCCTGCAAGCCGGCGGCGCCGCCCAGTCCGCACTACGGCACTCGGCTCGGCCTGATTTGAGGTACCGTTCATCCATTCCCAAATTCCCCAATTTTTGATTTAGGGTTTGCTTGCTATTTGTTGTGTTTGTGCATTGCCTGTGTGGTAATATAATTTTTGATCCGAGTAATTACTAGTTACAAGGTACAGGACAACATCCTAAACTGAGAAGAAAAGGCTAATTCAGACATCTTACACTGGTTCATGGTTGCATCAGAAATCTGAGACTGTTAATTTTGTTTTGTACTTTTGAGGTATTGAACTGAATGTTGAACTTACTGTCCAGGTCCAGCCATGCTTAATTAAACAGAATTCATGTTGTATTATGGGTCTTAATTGGATTGAGGGGCTGTAATAAGGTTGTGTATTTAGTTTCATGCTCACAGCATCTTCACTCAAATGGCCAGTAGCTTAAGCTACTGTTGGAAAGGCGTGTAATTTACGCATGCTTTCAAACAGAGTTGGAAAGGAGTACCAAACTACCCATCTGTTCCTTCCCTTTTCTGCCATGAGTTTAGTCAAGAGCAAGTTGAGAAATAAGATGGGCGATAGTCTTTTGGATGATTGTCTAGTCACATACATTGAGAGGGATGCTTTCTCCGAGGTGAATGAAGATGATATAATTGACACCTTCATGGCAATGCAAAAGCGTGAGCCAGAAACATAGTCTTTTTGAACTTCTCAAGGTATGTACTATGGTCCATGTAGTATATACTATGTAGGCTTTTTAATGCAAAACAGAGATTTAATTGAGGATTTTAGTGTTTTTGCAAGTCCATATTGCGATATTGATCTATTTCTTTGTGATATTGGTAATTAGTTAGAACTTTCACATGTCATATTGCTTATCAAAAAAAATAATTGGGGCGGACCACCCTGGTGTCAAATGCTAGCTCCGCCACTGGTCTCATTGCACAATTATATTAAGTTATCCATGATCCATCTCCTGTTTCGTTTGCTGTCAGCTGTCCTATAGACCAGGATCATTGCAATACGTGTTAATTGTTGATTTGTCTTTGCACTAAGAATCTCTGTACCGTTCATCACTCTTCACTAGTGCGATAAATATGGTATTTGCTGTCAGCATAACAAACATTGACATAGTTTTTGTTTGTAAGTTTGGTGCCTCACTTTAGTTACTGTATTATTTATCATATGCACACGCCTACTCATAATGCAAGAGGAGATACATCCAGGTTGTTTTCGTCTGCTATTACTGAAGCCCTAGGTAGCTTGCTTCTAGTGTTCTAAGTGTGTTTTGTTCTGTAAAGTGAACCATTGAATCCAAAATTATCCTTTTCTCTGAGATATCCTGATCGATCCATAAGTTTGCTGCATATTGATTTGATTGCTTTTCTGATAGCAGCCTGTTCTCCTATGGCACTGGGGGGTCAACTGAAACCTCACGTCCCGCTTTAAGTCCACCCTGCTTGCCACAGGCTGCCGGCTTGTTGTGTTAGTGCATGAATGTCTCACACGGCCAATAGGATGAATATATCTGGTGGCTGTGTGGTCTTGGCATGTCGATGACATGGGGTTTGTAGGGTTGACATCTCCGTTCTTTGAGTGATCTTGGTTCACCCGCATTAGATTATGATGATAAAGGTATAAATCTCTGTTGTTTGTCTGATCGTGTTATGCAACTTCCAACATACATTGCCCAAAGGAATTCGACATCGTGAAGTACCACTAATCCTAGCCTACATGGTGTCTATCAATAGAATGGAGAATTGTGGGTTGAACATAATGACCAAAACAGTGTATGTATTACTTAGTAGTGAATATGGTAAAATAGCATGTCCAAACCCAGCAGTTGGTCCTGATGAATTCAACCCCCTAAGGTCCAACTTAGACAATAATAAGGCAGAATGTCTTTCATTATGCCAAAAAGGCAAAATGTCTTTGATTTGCATATTATTGTATTAAATATGCGTTTTGACCAGGACAAATTATGCATCATACATCTCATTTGTCAAATCTACAGTTCTACAATTTGACATTTGTTCTACTAATGCCAATCTTCCCTATCACGGTATTCATCTTTTTTCTGCTTTAACCTGTTTGCCATGCTGTGTTCTTGAATCTCTACTGGTCCTCCCTGATAACTAATGTAGTGATAGGATGTTGCTTCATATGTCCCCGTTCCTCTTCAAAATCACTTAATCACATGTAGTCATATGGATGATCACATACTTGGCAGTTTATTCTGTAGAATAGACTTCATGAACAAGTAGAACTTCCACTTCCTTTGAAGGCCAAAATGTACAACAGTGGTAACACACAATTCTAGCTCACCCTTCATTCTTCTGGAGCATGGACGTTGGATATTACTTTGTAGTGTGTTACTGTAAATCTAAATTGATTAGCTGCTGTGAAATTCTCTTAGTTTTATGTGCTAAGCAAATACTCCCTCCGTCCCATAATATAAGAACGTTTTTGACACTAGTCTAGTGTCAAGAACGTTCTTATATTATGGGACGGAGGGAGTAGATGTGTACTCATTATAATCCATGAGAAATCAAATCAGAGCATAAATCTATTTGCATTCATTATCCTATCAGGCAGCTGATTTTACATTTTAAAAATGATATCACATCCTCCAATATTATTTGTTACTTTTTGCTTTTTGCATTTCATTCTTGAAATTGCTTGGGAAGGAAAAGGTATTTAACTACAAATAATTTCAGGAAGCAAGTGTGCTCTGAAGTCCGAACTGCTGAATCTCTTGTCAACTCCAGCAAACTAGCAGAGCCTTCTATCACCAAATAAAAGGGTTGTGATGTCGCTACGTCAGCTACTGGGATGGTCAGATGGAGAGGTGATGCGGCCGGAGTCAAAGCCGTGTTCCCGACTGATGCGCCACACTGCTGGTATCTTCTCAGTTGGTGGTGGCCTTGCTTTCTGGGTGCTTTCCCGCCTTCACTATGGTAATCCTTCCTGGCCATCCACATATTTTCCGTTTCAATATCTGGTCTATTCATCTTGAAACATATATTTGTTAATACTACCATCAAGGATGTAAATCTCATTGCTCCCGTATCCATATAGTACTGTGATTGTAGTTTTGGCCTTGTCATTAGCAGTAGTTTTGACCTTTTGGGTGTTGGTCCCTCGAAGCAATTCAAAACTGAAAGTATTTTGCTGACCCTGTTTCATTATCTAGGTCCAAGGATAACGGTTCCAAGGAGTCTCAGGTGGGCATCCTGTGGAGCGATGGGCACGAGCGCGACGGCAGCCATGCTTGTGCGGCTCTTCAGCCCGGAGTGTGAACCACAGAACATAGCAGCTTTCGACAGACCTGAATACAAGCCTGCATAGTGTCATGGAAATCCAGGGCCAGGTCTGCCAAGCCCTATGCGAGTTTGCTGATTCGGCCCTTGGTGATGCCTTACAAGATGTTTATGCATAAATGTACCTCCCCTGAAATTGGACACCTCTATGTTTCCTACACTCTGGCCGCCGTCATTTTCTTCTGAAACTAGGAGCTTTTTGCATCAAATCTGGAGCTGGTACCTTTTGCATCAAATTTGGTTTCCAAAGTGGGGTAGTGATGTATTGCTGGACACATTTTGAGTGATGATAAGTTGCACTCAGTTAACCTAATGACTTCCGTGAGATACATAAACATACTACGATTTGACCCGATGATGTGCGGTAATAATAGGCGCTGGCCTTCAGTGTTTAAGCCTTGGTTACTACTGTACAGTATCTTATTTTCCAACTGCTGAAGGCAAGCCCGTTAATAAGATCTGTTTGTTCAAAAAGAAAAAAAAGGCAAGCCCGTTTACAACTGTACGTCTAGGACAAGGATCCGAGTTGATGCTTATCTTTTGGCAGTTATTTTTGGCCTGTTTCTTTACAGTTAAATCCTGCTAATTTTTATCGACAGTTACTTGCTTCTAATTAATCCTGGATATTTTAAGAACTAGAAGTAGACTCGGTGTTGGTATCGGACTTTGTACAAGTCTACATATAGCATATTCCGTCGTCGGAACGTCGTAGTTGTTCAGAAGCTCATCAAATCTTTCCTTCGTTTCGCGTCGCAGCAACGAGAGACGCTCTCGACGTCGCAATGCAGCTGGTGCTGTGTGACTGCTGCCCGCCGTGCGCGCCGGACCCGCGGGCGCGGACGGCGGCCACTACGAGGAGCTGCCCGTGTCGGTGCCGCCGCACGTGCCGCGGGGGCTGAGCAGGGACGAGGCGCCCGGGCCCGGGCTGGACCAATGGGAGGAGGGAGCGTACGCGGAGGCCGTGGAGCAGCTGGCCGCGCCGCCGCCTGAGATCACAGAGACGGGCGCCGGAGACGCGTGGCCGTGGCTACGGGCGGCTTTCGCGTCGGTCTACGAGATGGTGGTGGCGCCCGTGTCGTCCTGCGGCCGCTCGTGACGAAAGTGAAGCCGGTCGTGCCTCGTGCGTGCGCGCGTTGGGTGCAGAGATCGCGAACTCTCGATGCGCGGCACGGGCCAGAAGCTGCTGTTTCTCCGTGAGATATTTCCAGCGGACACGATAACGATACGCCTGGCCCCGCGCTTTGCGTCGGCGTGCAGGCGTCTCGCTTACACCGCACGTGTTGCAATCGCATGTTTCAATCCGTGTCGTCTCGGAGCCGAGAAAGAAGAATCTATGCTCCAAGTCGACGAAGCATGGGCATCTCGAGCTCTCCGGGTCGAAAGGATGCTCATCTTCATACGACCTCCTGCGACGATCGTACGGGGAACAACTCCAAAGGGAGAGCGCGCTGGCCGGACTGGACTCCCGAGCACCTTGGTCGATCCAGGAGGACTTCACATCGGGAATCTGATAGCTAGGTACTCCCTTCGTTTTTTTAGTCTGCATATAAGGTTTCGTCAAAGTTAAGCTTTGTAAAGTTTAACTAACTTTATATTAAAACATATAAACAATCACAATATGAAATCAATATTATCAGATGCACCATGAAACGTATGTTCATACTATATAGTTTTAGTATTGTAGATGTTCATATTTTTTTATATAAATTTGGTCAAACTTTGTGCAGTTTGAGTTTGATCAAATCTTATATACGGAGTAAAGAAAGGAGGGAGTACATGTCGTTCTAATTTGCCCCTTTCTTTCTATTGTCCCTTTCGTTCAGAAATTCACGGAGGCTTAAGATACTACTCCCACTAGTGTAAAACACTATTATATTATGGGATAGAGAGAGTAGCTAACTGTACTATATGGTTTCAGACTTCGGTGAAATGGTTGCAGTGTTGTAGTATTTTTAGCGTTAGTGTAAGTCCCTCTCATCCTTGTAAAAGCTCTCCTTTTGGACAGAGATGAAGTACCTTTTTATTACGGGCCGTGAAATTTTAACTACTACTCCCTCCGTCCCATAATATAAGAGCATTCTTTATACTAACTTTCACCATGTACTTTTAAATTTTTATAGTAAATACAATGAAATTAAAATCTCAGAGAAGAGGACAACATTTCATAAAGTAAGGAAGGCAAGGTGTTTTGCGTAAACTAATATTGCAATTTTTTTTGCTAAAAGCATTATGCAACACACCTAATCAGTGACGGAGCCAGGTAGAAACTGCTAAGGGGCCAAGGACATGAGTGTTTTGACGGTGCAAAATGCCAGGTAGATCACTTAACACCCTTATATTTCTTTACAGAGGGTGTATCTCATCTAAGCCCTCCCTCAAAAAATTCCTTCACGTTCAAAGTTGAGGCAACTAGTGTGGCAAATTAGGCTGGCATGGAGAGATTTCGGCCACAAGTGAACAGCTGCCAAGGTCGGTGATCCGCTTTTCATGATTTGCCAATTGTTGTACATATATAGCTACCAGGTTTAAAAAATCATTAAAAATTTACAAACAAACACTAGTAGAAAAATGGGCTTTCGTTCAGGCCTGTCCAGCCCATTAGTCCCGGTTCTGCCACGAACCGAAACCAATGGATGCATTTGTCCCGGTTCGTGAGCCCAGTGGGCCGGCCGGGGCTCGTGGGCATTGGTCCCGGTTCGTATGGACCCATTTGTCCCGGTTCTAGACACGAACCGGGACCAATGGGCCTCGCTCCTGGCCCACAAACATTGGTCCTGATTCTTGGCTCGAACCGGGACAGAAGGCCGGGCTTTAGTCCCAGTTCCAGCCACGAACTGGGACAAATGAGTTGTCTATACATACCCCGTCGCCGTAGCAGAGCACTCCACGGTGCTCTGTTTTTTCTGGCCGGCGAGGAGAGGGCATTTGGGTGCTCTAGCTCACCTCCTATGCACATGAGGTGTTTGATGAAATGCCCGAGCCACGCTAGTTAAGTTTTCTTCTCTCGAAGCTCGACCTCCAAGCTCCATTTTTCCCGAGATTTGTCTAGATTTAGCGGTCCGTCGCGTCTCGTCTCCGTCTTCACCACCGTCGATCGCCCGCGCCGATCTCGTCGCCTGCACCACCATGGTGAGCCTCTTGTTCTTATCTTCTTCTGAAAGAAAAAATTCTTACTTTAGATAGATACTTGTCTAATTTTCTTAATTTTATTATTGCTTGTTATTATATAGTGCGATGATTTTGGTATCCGCCCCCGTCGGCCCTCATCCTGACTATGATTCGGATGTGGTATATATTATCTTTTATAACTATTTGGTTCATTTATTGTTTATGACAATTGTGCCCATCAAGTTGACATAGATTTTATTTATGTAGGAGGTAGTTGAACCGGAAATTCCAACCAACCCTATTGTTGAGAGGTTAAATTTAGTTGAAGAAGAAAACAATTACTTGAAGGAAAAAATAAAAAATTGAGGAGGAGAAGATGATATTGGAGTTGCATGTTGCGGATGTCGTCGATGATCACAAGATCAAGATGGATGCAATGCGGTTGAAGATTGAAAGATTAGAAAATATGTCATTCATACCGAGGCTTGGTATCATTATGTCGTTGGATCAATTTTTACCTTGGTTGTGATTATGATCGCATTTGTTGTTGCATTGAAAGGTTTTACATAGTTTTAATGTATGGTTTAACTAGATGCTCTGGAGAGCTATATGTTGTTCAATGAAAACTATGTATGTACTTTGTTTTTAATGTGATGATGAACTTCTATTAATTTGGTCACTTATCTATTCATGAGAGCTATATGTATTAAATTTATGATGTGGCTTTGAATGGTGCATTTTGAACACAGAAAAACTATGGAGTTCAAACAAGTTATAAAAATTAAATCCCTTTGTAACAGACGAGTTTTCGTATGAAACCCTCATATTTCGAAAGAGATTGTCAGTTTTGTACACGAAGTGCATCCAGTTTTTGCCGCAACCCTCTCTACTTTCTTGCACATGCTATATGGGTGAAATGATGATGCCATGCCAACTTCCAACCTTTTCAGAGTTCATTTGTAGTGTTTTTCAATTTCAGGGTCTTATAGTTGAAAAAAAATTAGTAAATGCATGAAAAATAACAAATGAAGTCAAAAGGGGTTGAAAATTGATGATGTGGCTTTGAATGGTGCATTTTGAACACAGAAAAACTATGGAGTTCAAATAAGTTCAAAAAAATGAAATCCTTTTGTAACACACGAGTTTCCATATGAAACCCTCATACTTCAAAATAGATTATCCGTTTTGTACACGAAGTGCATCCAGTTTTTGCCGTAAGTCTCTCTACTTTCTTACACATGCTATGTGGGTGAAATGATGATACCATGCCAACTTTCAACCTTTTTAGAGTTCATTTGTAGTGATTTTCAATTTCAGGCTCTTATAGCTCAAAATAATCAGTAAATGCATGAAAAATGACAAATGAAGTCAGAAAGGGTTGAAAATTGATGATGTGGCTTTGAATGGTGCATTTTGAACACAGAAAAACCATGGAGTTAAAGTAAGTTCTAAAAAATGAAATCCCTTTGTAACAGACGAGTTTCCGTATGAAACCCTGATACTTCGAAAGAGATTATCCGTTTTGTACACGAAGTGCATCCAGTTTTTGTCGTAAGCCTCTCTACTTTCTTGCACATGCTATGTGAGT